CTTCTCCTCAGCTGGGCTCTCCTCTTCTTGAGATTCTACTCCGTCATTGGGTTTCTTCCCACCTTTTTCTCCTTCCTCTTCTAGCGCCCATTCTTTCAAGAATTGTCTGACATCCCTAGAAGATTCTTCTCTGTCCTCTCCTATGGAATTTATAGTAATAGCCCTTGACAACCAATCTGCCACCAAGTTCTCCTTCCCTGGCTTGTATATAATGTCCATGTTATATTGATTCAAGAACTCCTTCCAGCGTGTTACTCGAGCGAGGATTATTTTAGCTTACCTAACCATTGAAGAGGTCTGTGGTCGGTGTGAACTTTCTTGGATTGAACTTTCTCCCAAAGACATAGGATCTAAAATGATCGATAGCCCACACGATCCGTAACAGTTCTCCGTCTAAGGTACTATATCTTGTTTCCGCTTCATTGAGCCGCCTGCTGGCATACGCTACGGTGCGTTCCCCACCACTTCCTTCTTGGGATAACATGGCCCCCAATGCATATTCACTAGCATCAGTTTTAATGGTGAATAGTTTTGTAAAGTCTGGAAATCCTAGTACCGGTTCTTCTTGTAGACGCTACATACACTTCTGAATGTTATCTTCCATCACTGGTGTTACTATTACCTGTGTTATTTTTTTCAATAAGTTCTTGAGTGGCACAAGGTATTCGGCCATTTCAAGCACAAATCTTCTATAATAATTGAGCGTTCCCACTAGTCTTCTGATCCCTTTTATGTCTCGAGGTGTCGCTATTCTCCTAATCGCTTCCACGTTCTGCGTATCGGGTTTGACTCTTTCTCTTGAAATAGTGTGACCTAAAAATTTTATCTGGTCTTGGCCTAACAGGGACTTCTCGCTAGACAATTTTAGCCCATAATGTCTCACTCTCTCGAACACACTCCATAGATGATCCACATGTTCTGTCTCGGTTTTGCTAAATACTAATAAATCGTCCCATGTAAATTTTACACACCTCTTCATCAATTCCCCTCAGAAATTCGTTCATGAACCACTGGAATGTCATTGGGACATTTCTGAGTCCAAATGGCATCCTAGTAAATTCATAGTACCCTCTCTCAAATGTGAGCGCTGTTTTTAATTGATCTTTCAGGTGCTTTCTGATTTGATATCCTGCCTTTAAGTCTAACGTGCTAAATATCGTTGCCCCGCTCAACCTATCTAAGATGTTTTCAAACCTCGGGATCGGATACTTCTCATCTACCGTATTTTCGTTAAGCTTGCGGTAATCTATCACTACCCTATATTTTCTCTTGTTCTCTCCAGGAGTATTCTTCTTCTTTACTGCCCATAGCGGACTATTGTAAGGTGACGTGGTGTCCACAATTATCTCTTGCTTCTTTAAACTCACCAATTCTTCTCTAATATGTTGGCGAAGAGTCTGAGGATATCTTCTCTCTTTCACCTAGGTCACCTTTTCTTGCTTTAGCGGGATCTCGAACTGTTCTCCCCGTCGTCTCTGATATATCCCCCTCCATGAAGAATATATCCTCAAACTCTATCTTGACGGCTAGTCTCCAATCTTCGGTTGGACGTTTTGCTCTTATACGCGCCCTACTGTCTTCTAAAAACGTTCTGCTTCTATAAACGATTTTCCCTATCCTTATACTCCCTTTTCCACTTCTATTTTTGATTCGTGCTCTCACCTTCCCCAGTATGTCCCACCCTTTAATCACCTGGTATTCTCGGGGCATATTCCCCACAATATGCACTCCTAAAGTATCTCCTCTAGCTGCCCACCTAGTCAACCCAATCTCAACTTCCCCTTCTATTCTACACAAGCCACCCAGAGTAATTAAGTTACAATTGCATGCCTGTATCTGGAGTGTCCTCTCTCTGCCACACAGCTTCTCCAGCACTTCCCTATGTGTGCTAAAAGTGACTGTGCATTGACATGACAGGATAATAAGGCATTAGCCATAGGAGATGGTAGATTGGGATAGTGAATCGGTAAGAGGGGCGAGAGATATGGAGATAATTAGGTTGGATTGATCTGAGATACATCGTGGATGCTGAAACAAAAATAGCAAAACTATTAAAAAGTAGAAACTAGAAAAAATATGTAGAAGAAATAATCTGGATAGTATCCTATAATCAATGGAGATAAGAAACAAAAGAACAGTAGATCTATACAAGCGGAAAACGAAAATATACTCTGATGAAAAATGAACAATAATACCAATAAAAATGATAATACAATTAGCTGCAATATACACATAAACGAAATTGAAAGAAGTATTAAACATATAACAGTTAAATAAATAGAAGAAAGTTGCTAGAAACTGAGGTGGTGGGTTGAAGGAACGAGAGCAGAGAAGTCAAGGTCAGAAGGTGAATTTGTGACAACTACGGGCTGACCGTCGGTTCTTCTACACTTCACTTTGCCATCACCAAACCAGACATATTTTGTTTTTCCAGCCTTCTGTCTCGCAAGCCAGTACAGGTGCCTGTTGGTCGAGGTCATCGCTTCTCCGATGAAAATTTTGTGAACATCATTCTCCTGCCAGCCCATGTGACGAGTAGATAAATCTCTTACCACTTTCCGTTTATGAATCAGCTCATCTCTTAGCGTTTGTCGAACAAATCTGACCAATAGTGGACCAGGAGTGTTATTTTGCCGAGTTCTGATCCTCTCTATGCTGTCCACATCTTCCACCTTTAGACTTAGCCCTAGCGCTGCGCCCAGACTCACTACCAGGCCCATTTGAGTTTCATCAGGTCTCACCGGAATTCCTCTAATCTCTGCGGTTTTAACCAAGTGCTGCTGCTCGGATCTGTTTAGCTTTATTTCGAGCTCCGACACTCGTGATTTTAGAGTCAAATTCTCCAAAACCAAGCCATCTATTTTCGAATTTTGAGCTTAGTTTTCGAAAGTGATAGATGCCTAAGTTTCCATTGATGATTTCAAATCCTTCAAGTTGGAGGCATTAGGTTCAACGGAACTTCTCAGGTTCTTAACCTTGGTTGTAAGCTCTTTGATTGCAGAGAGCAGCAATTGTGATGTAGCATCCCCAGTGGTATGCTGCGAGCTTGTGCCTCTTTTGGTAGGCGAACTATTTCCTTGGGCCTTTTCACAATTGGGGCATTTCCAAGTCATTTCTTTTTTTTAGGGATTCAATGTCTTTTAATTCAACTTTCAAACATTTCCCGTGATAAATCGCTTGGCAGTTGGGAGTGGCAGTTTTGATCTCTATTCACTGAAATCGAATTCATGTTAATAAATAAAATCGATTTAACTTAATCACTAAGGAACATATTCCAATTCATTTCATACTTTTGCAATGAAGAGATGAAAATAACTTTATTAAATAAAAATTAATTTTATTAAATATCTTGAAATTAAATCATATTCACAAATCTATATATAAAGTATCTTTGGTGAGGTATGTATCATCAGTTATTAGAATATATTAATAATCAATAGTAAAATGTTGATTTGACCCAGAACTTCCCATTTCAGCATTTCCAAATATATTTAAATCGGGTTTGCAATATAATGTATGTTATCATGCAGTAAAATTACCTTATCATGTCTTTGCTCTTATAGCAGTCACTTTTACTTCAGGGCTTGGCTCAAAGATATCAGTTGTAGACTACAGCTATCTCCTGTGATAATTTCATTGGGCTGAAGCAGCTCAAAATAAATTATAGCAATCTGATCCCACCAAATGCAAAGCATAAGCTTGAAACCATGAATGTTTGGCTTTGCTGCTGATGTTGATGTGTGTCCTGGCAGTCCCCACAATTGTTTTCATTTTGGGTTGTCGATATCCTTTTTCATCACTAGTTATGATACGATACAGAAAACATTCCATTTTTGTTGTTAAAGCAATTATTCGCCTGGTGAATAAACATCGTTCGACATCCCTTTCCTTCAATTAATACGGTACCCAATTTCCTTGATTTTGTGCCATTCCTAAAGCTTTCAAACGTGTAGAAACTGTCGTTCAATCAACTCCCAATGATTCTACAACTTTTTCTTGAGTCTTGCATGAATCTTCACCAACAAGTAATGCCTCTAAATCTTCATCTTCAAACTGTTTTGGATGATCTGGATGATGGCATCTCTGAGATCAAAATCATTGTTTTTAAAGCATTGGAACCATTTTCTGCATGTTCTATCTAATAGAGCCTGATTGCTTAAAAAAAAAGTTTTCACAAGAATTTTATGCCCTTCAGCTGCAGTTTTCTTTTGGAAAAATAGTTTACTAATATTCCCTGCAAAACCGGTTTTGAGAGTAAGCAATATTTGCCATGTTTGAAGGAATATGAAAAACATAGAGCTGCTTCTAATAATCTGTTCTCATGTTATAATCACTGCAGGAAGCACTGGACATTGCATTAAATTTTCTTAGAGTGTAATACAGTGTGGCACTTTTAAGAATATTTTTTCTTACTTTTGATTAATTTGTTTAGACCATTTAGACCCCATTTAGACCATGAAAGAAATATGAACCATTTTGATGAAGCAACGCTTTAACATCAGACCTGTTTCAACTCTGTTTGTAGAGTTTATAAGTTATTTATTTAATAACTTATGACCCGATAATATATTTAGATATTATCTAGCTCTAATTAAACATAAATTAATTTTTGGCTAAAGTGGGAAAGTTAGTGAATGTGTGTGCTGCATGTGTTTTTCATTCTTTACGGAATATATGTTTTTGAGCAAAGATTTTTTATTTCATTTCAATTTATCATTATTCGTGACATAGGTTGATAAAAAGAAAATGAATTATCGAAAATATTAATTTATTTAATAAAAATAAGTATAATTTTCCTTATTGGACCCTCATATTAGATATTTAATGATTCACCTATTATTCCTGTAGTAATATAAAATCTTTTAATTGCTTAATTACTGACATATCTTATTCACAAATCAATTATGTTCATGTTTTATTAAGATTATTAGATTTTTAAGATGTAAATTGGTTAAGATTATTACTTGACTCATTTTTAATATTATTGTTTAATTTTTTAGATTTTGATTGGACTTTTGGCTCTCCTTGTACATGGAAGTTATTCCGAATGAACCATTACAGAATAATAAATAATTGGAAAGAAGACCGTTACAAGCGTTATGAAATTGATGGAAGGTGGTTAGATACGACTGCTTATGATGGAAAAACTTTGGTTGTAAATAATGGTCCTCTCGACATCTATAGAATTGAAAATGGAAATCTAGTACACATTCAAACATTGAGGAACAGAAATTATGATGCATATATGTGTTCAACTAACAGCACATTTATAGCTGTTAAGTATAAACCTTTTGTTGTTGTTTATCATAATGAAAATGATAAATATAAAACTTCTTATTATCTCTATAATAAAGGACAAAACACAAAGCTGTATTGTACTAAGGATCCTAGAGAAATAGATACTTCATCTGATGATAACTTTACCTATCCTTATTGGTCTAATTTAATGTGTATACTAGGTGACACACTTTATGTCTATTTATCTCATTTAAAAGTTCTTTATGCTTGGGAAATGAAAGAAATGAAATGTCTTCTTGAAAAGAAAGCAGATATAAATGATGTTTCATATGACAAAAACTGTGTATATCTGTGTATTCGTAATTCTATCTTTGTTTTTGATAAAAATGGTAGCATTGTAATGAGATTAGAAGCTAGGTGGAATATCGGTAAAATGCATTGTAATCACAATATGATTCTTGCCCAGCGTGGATTAAATGAGGAAGTTGAGTTTTGTGCTTGGGATAAAACAACAGGTAATGTGGTTTTTAATAAAAAAATGAATGTAAGTGAAGATTTAATTCTTCATCCAAAAAAAAATGTTATTCTTGACCTAGTTGACACATGGCAAGTGGAAAAAAAAGAGATAACAGCATATAATCTATTAGATGGTTCACTTTTATGGAAATCTCGAATAAGTGAATACAGCTTGTTGGGAGATCTTCACAGTATTGTTGCTGAAAGATTTCTTCTATTCTGTACATATACACGTCATATTTTTGATGTTTATGACACTGACTCAGGAAGCTATCTTTATTCGTTAAATCACATCGATGATGATGATTTGTATGCTTCCTATGATTTACTGATTTATTGTTGCAATAAAAATGCCAAGTTAATTTTGCACATTTACTCTTAAAAGGTAATTTCATTTTTGAATTTTAAAGAATGTTAATGTTATTCTATTAATCCTCATTAAACGTTATACATGTTTAAAGTTCTTCAATGAAAAAGTTTAAGTAACTTTATAGTTATTTTATTTGTATAGCAATTTCTGTACCACAATTGTGTTACTTTATTTTAATAGTAGGTAATTTTAATTATGATTTTAGGATTTTTTATTTTTATATTTTTATTAATCAAATTCTATAGGGTTATCTAATAAGTAATTAATATTTTTTTCTCTAAAATTTATTATTTATTTTTGAGACTGACAAATTTTTATCTATGCAAATAAATTTAGTCTTATGTCTCAACACAAATTTGTTATTTATTCTTTATATTATGGTGCAAATATTTGTTGAGACATCAGATTACAATAGTGATGTTTTTTTGAAAATAGTAAAATTTAACTTTTTTAAATATATTAGTAGTATATATCTGTTAATAGATGTTGAAACCATATGTAAATATTCATGTACATAAATAAAGTATTTAATTATATTATTCGTGCAAAGACTGTTAAAAAAAAAGTTTTAGTTTATTGGGTTAATTTCATATTTTTATATTCATTTTTAGTTGCTAATGTACAGTTATTTTTCATATTTAAAACTGCCCCATTTGCTATTTTTGGCTTGAAAATTTAAGTGCTTAGGTTAGTTTATGTTTTACATTTTTTATCATAGTACCCATGCTCTAGCCTTGAATGAATTTTAATGGAATATAGTTTGTATTATTAGCTAATAAGTGTTTTAACATCACAATAAAGTAAACATTTGTTTAAGAATACTTATTATCTTCTTTTTTATTTATTTTATAATTTAAGTTGTTGGATTATATTAACATAATTTAAATCAGTTTTTATTCACCAAAGATTTTAATTATATAGGTATTTTATTAAACATTCCGAAAAAAAAAATTCAAGCTATATGTTATTACTTAAAAATTGTATATTAAATAAAATAACTCTTTTTGAAATGGTAAATGATATTAATGAATATTTTGAGAATAAGTAGTACAGCATTATAGTTTTTATATACATATGTACAGAATTTCCCATTAATAGTGGAAAATGTTTAATAAGATATAGTATATCTGAACAGTAGCAACAGAAAAGTGATTGTGCACCAGTCCTTTTTATACAAATCTTAGTTAAGAGTAATAGATCATTAGGTGACCAACTAAATGTTCCTGTCTTCTAATCATAATTATATTATTTACGTATTGATAAAAATAACTCAAGCAATTTGAGAGTTTCATTTTTCAGAAATGTTAATTTATAATAATAAACTATTACCTTCAAACATTGTAATATTTGTATGGAACAAGCTTTTGGAAATTCAAGGTAGAAACCTCTACTGTTGCCGAAAAATATATTTTCTGAAGATAAAGATTTACTAGAAATGGGGGTATTTAATTTCAGAAATAGTCAAAATAAAGCAAATGAAAATCATTAAACCATAAGAAAATGCAGACATTACTAATTTAAAATCAGAGGTTATTATTATCACTTAACATTTCTGAAAATATGAGACCAGTCAATTGCTTGCATGAAAACATAAATATTAAAATTAGAATAATAGGATTAGAAAATCGTCCAAACATTTTAGTTTTCAATGCCCATAATTGACCTCTGTGTAAAAATCACTGGTGAGTTCACTATCTCCTGTTTGAATGATAATTTTTCAAATATGTAATTTTTAACGAATATTTGTATAATTGTAATAATAATTTTTTAAAATTTAATAAACATCCTACATCACAGAAAAAAAATGTTCTTATTAATTTACTGTAATTATGATTGTTTTAAACACTTTAAAGAGATAGAATTCTTCATTACATAATTTTTTTTAAATTTAAAGCTTACTAAACAAGTCATGTTTTCTAAAAGTGTGGAATCTGAAGTGCAGTAAAAGGTTGATAAAAAAAAAAAAAAAAAATTGTGTGTAATTATTTTACGATTTTATGGAAGAATGAACTTAGTCTAGTTTAGCCTCTAAAAAAAACTCATATAATAGTTTTAGCAAATATAAATAAAATAAAATTTGTATTTAATATTGTCTCTTATTATGCAAAAGAGTGATTGCTTACTCATAAAAGAATCCAACTTGAATACTCTGTATGGAACTGGTGTACAAATTGTAGAAAAAGTCTACGATCACTTTAAGTATTTTCCATTATTTATCGGAAACCGTAGCATTGTATATTTTAAATATTATTATGTTGAAATACTTCAATTTACAATTATCAATGATTAAATAATATTACATTGATTTGATTTATAAATTTTCAGTGCAAGATGCTCAAATTATCTTCACTTTGTTTATTCTATTGAACCTTTAAATCGTGTTTGTAGTTTTTATGAGATATTATTATCATAAACAACAAATTATCGGTCTCGATCTGTTTGTTGTAATTTTTAGATTTTTTTTTTTATGATTAATATTTGATACTACAACTATATTATGTATTACTTAAACTATATCCTGTAAAATCAAATTTTGAAAATATTGTTAACTTATTTCTTAATGAATTGCTAATTTACTTTAATAGATTTAGATACTACAAAATAATTTGATGAAAAGTGATGTTTCTTCCGTTTTAATAAACTAGAGTAAATCACTAGTTAAAATGTCGTCATGTTTTATATGATGGGCAGGTTTTCACTATTTACACAACAATAAGCCAACACTAGACTTTTTTGTGATAAGTTTTCAGAAAGTATTTTCCTGAAATCTTTATGATTCATTTATTAATACATCTCACTCCTCCATCCCTTTTCCATGTGAGGATCCTTAAGGAATCATTGTGTCATTTCTTGATTGATTTTCGGCTTATAATGTATTTATGTTTTAGTTTGAGTATCAGCTTTTAAGCAGACCCCATTGTTTTGAATTTTGTCATTTAAATTAATATTAATTCCCAACTGACCATTGTTGGTTTTCTAAATATTCAAGATTTTAGTTATGATCGATCACTTTTGATCATTTCAAGTTCATTTTGTGTTCTTACTGCTAAAAAAAGTAATTTTTCATAATATAATAGCTGTATTGTGAACCTAAAATACGATATTTGTTTACTAGTTTTGGCCATAGGTGACTGACTATTACGACTATTAGTGAACCTAACTAGTCAAAGATTCATCTGTAAAATCTAAAGCTTTAGAAATTCATACTTCAGGAATTTTTAATGGAGATAGTTTTGAAATTATTAATAACGAGTCAAAGCTATGTTTCCAAGTTTTTAAAATATATTTTTAGACTATGTTAGCATTATGATGTTTTCAGAGTTTGGGTTCTTTATTAGGAACTAGTAATTTTTTAATAAACTCAAACAGTTGCTATATATAGATAAAATTTTTAAAAAGCAGTGATTTAATTTTTTTTTAGCATGAACATAATGGTATAGATTATATCATGTTCATAACTGGTATTGTAGTATTTTTGGTTAAAAAAATTACAAAACTATATGGATAATTATGTATATTAAAAATGGAGTGTATTAGGTAATTTAAACATTTAACAATACATGTCATCTGGCAGGCTGACATGTAGGTGATAGCCCATTTTGCATCAATCTACTTTCTTAACTATTACTAAAATCAATGATTTGTCTTATATAGTACTCTCTAGTTTCATGTGCTTTATAATTATTTTCCTCTTTTACTTTTAAATATATTCTGTTTTCAAAGATTAATTTTTTATAAAATATTATTTTAAACTTGATGTGTAAATGTACTATTATCTTATTTTGATGTACAATCTTTATAAATAGTCACTTTAGATTCCTAATATTTGTCTTACTCTTCACTAATTCAGCAAATAATGTACCATGGCAGTTTAGTAATAAGTCCAAAAAAGGTTATAAAGCGACCCAAAGACAATGCAAATCTGTTGGTCTCTCTCTCCTCTGACTGAAAACATCAAGGGAGGAAATCATCCCCTCTTCTCTCAATATTATTTTAATAGAAAATTAACAGCAAGTGATCCGTGCTGCCAACTTAAATAATAAAAGTAGGTTGAGCTAATTTGGAATGCTTTCTGAAATTATATTGAAACATTGCTAAGGAAAGTTGTATGTGCCAGTATAATTGGGTTTTGTTTTAGAGAAAAAAATATTTAGTTTATAAACTTGTTTTGTGAAATTGTTCCTCCTTTAAAAATAAACCTAAAATCTTTGTAAAGAAAATCAAAACTACAACATATTTCTCTCCTCGACCATAGAGCTCACAGGCAGTTTTTTACCTCTGTGGATAATCTGAAAATGATGATGAAAATACATTTTACAGGCAATAATTGTAAAATTTAAAATATAAATTGTAAAGAGAATATTTAAATAATTTATAAAATGCCTACATTACATTAAAAATTACCGCTTGTTAGTTACGAATATTGGTATTATTTTCATATGTGTTGATGGTTAACCATATGGTAAATTAAGGAGATGATTGAGGAGTCAGTGAGAAAAAACACCAAATTACTGCAATCTATTATTTTTTCAATGCCTCTGTTGCTTTACGTCAGGGCTACAAGTTTGTCAATTAAATGGTATCAATATTCTTTACCTGTCTCTTGATACTATTTAGTTATCAGCTCCTTGTCCATATTTTTACTTTGATGAAGAAGACCTACGATGTGGGTCGAAACATTGGTATTGAATAATGATTATGTTTTTATCTGACTCCTGTACAATCTCCTTATTTTTAATTTGTAAATTGTTAACCATTTAATGTACCTAATGCTATTGCAAGTTTATATAATCAAGATAAGCAATAAGCCATACTACATTTTGTGTAGGATAGCATGCTGTCACTTTTTTGCTTCAATTGTTATTCTTTTATACCAAAACTGTGATATATATATTTTTTTTCGTACTAAATTTAGTTCTGCAAGGTGAGTTTCATTCAAGTTGTTTTTAGTGAAATAAAGTTTTCCTATGATTAACACTTAGTGGGTCTCTCAGGGTACAATTAAAATATATGTAAATTTCTTTCTAAATATATCTGCTATAGATTAAGCATAATCTT